ATATCTTGTTAACTACTGCGAAAATTGCAAAATGGCAGAGGACTTTTCAATTCGGTTTAGTCTGCCTTATCTACACAAAAGTGATTGGCAAAAAAGTTCGGGACACCTTGTATGTATGTATATATATATTTTTTTTATCCATATATATATATGGATAAAGCTTTTATTGGAAGAGGACATTACGTGTCACCATAAAAAGAATTGAGTCTGAATTTGCTACATCTCAATCCTCTGTTTTAAATGAGATTTACATCAATCTGCTGTGATACATTTCTCCCTCAAAGACATTTCGTAATTTATTTCTTGCTTCTCGTATATTGGAAAGTACGGCCAATTTTACGACGCAGTGGCTCGCGAGCGTGTATAGTGAAATGCATACAAAGCGAAAAATATATACGCATCGATGTATAATTATGCCAGTAAAAGTAACAGTTGTGAAGTGCGTGATGGATAAGTTGTCGCTTCCGCAAATCTACCAATCGTTTCGATAAATCGGAACGATCGACGCACAAGTGTAAAATAATCCGTTTCAAGATGCACAAGGTTACATAGGGACGTTTGTTATCGCTACCTTGTAACATATATCTTTTTACGCTCATTAGTGTTCACGCATCCGGCGAGGTGACGCTCGTTCGCAACTTATGAGCGAAATAGACTATCGGGGACCATCGATAACGAGGAAACATGCCCTTAGGTGCAGAATGACGTAGCTCCGCGTCTTCAATATCAAAAGTTTTGCCCGTGAACGTGCAACAATGTCGTCAATTAATGAGTCAATCAATACGCCTCATGGCGATATTGAATTCCAACTTGTGCGTTGGTTTCTTTTTACGAGTCCTTACATAATACAGGAAAAAGGCAACGCGATAGGATCGCGAAGGAAACTCGTGAGCCGCTTAGCGTCGATTAACAATAACGGGATGAATCAAATGGAATGGTGTACACTTGGCATAATGTCAATGGATTATTCATAGATCCGTGAACAATACACGGAGAAAAAAAAGCGCAATGTAACGTTCATTACGGACACTACCGTTCCACTGTCGCACGTGATGGTAGGGATCTTCGTTAATAGCAAGTACACCGAGTGCTGTCTTTTAATGAGGACGTTTACATTAGAAGTGGACAATAAAGATGATTACGGCGGTGCCATATGCGGCATTGATGTTATAAACCGTTATTAACCATTTAATACTGATGCACAAGGAGTTTTACGGCATTTGACATTTGTCCTGCGATCATGCGTTCCTGTGAGCACAACCCGATAATCTTAATGAAGAAAAGATTTTTCTTTCTAAAGCAAATAACCTTGCTCCAAATACTGCGATAACGCTCTATCAATAATTATATTCACCTTTGCTGCAGATGAAAGCTCACCTCGAAGATCATATTTATTACATTCTTGGAAGATTGGAACGACAAGTTTGCACAATGACAGCATAATTATCCGAGAAGATCGCGGAAATGAGGAATAGTGCCGTCTTAAAAGATTGGCGACACAATTAATGGAGTGCCACGAGCTGAGCATGCATTTTCATAATGCCCGACATATGCACCAGTCTCAAATTTTAATGTTATACCTTAATCATACAGACACCAAGGACATTCTGATCAAAATTTCTCTGCATGTGCAATATTACTTTTCAACTACCAGTAAGATGACACACATTATTCTGTTTTTCTTTTCGAATGTTACGCAAATTCAGTTAATATTATCTAAAAAGTGTTAGCGTCTTATTTTCAAAATTTCAGTATCAACGCTTTTTCAAAGAATTCTAATTATTTCCGGAATTAATTAATTTTAATTAATTATAGAAATATAAAAAAAATAGAAACTCGAAGACGTAAAATGCAAATTCTATCTTTTTGTGATTCGAAAAGATGTAAGATTTTTTGTTTCAATCAAAATTAATTTTTTAATACTTTTCAATAAAATTTTTGAAGCATATTATTTTGAATTTTTTAGAAAATATATATCAAGATTTCTGAAAAAATTCCTGTGGAAACTTAGAAAATTTTCATTCCGAAAAACAAAAAAATTCGAATCTCTAAAGATACCGATTTTTTGTTCAGATTTTCGTGAAATATTATTCACGTACGGTAAATAATTGGAATTTACATTAGAAAGTATTAAATTTAGTTTTATAGTTTTATAGTTCGAATAATTGAGAAAAATTTTGAATCTATCAAGAATTGTATACATAGTAAAAAGGAAACAAATAAATGTGAATGAAAACATATAACAAAAGCTAACTTTACAGAGATGTCTATCTTGATAAATTTTATTATAAATATAAAAAATAACAATATTTTTTATTATACTATTAGAAAAAAGAATTATCAGAATTAAAAGATTTTCTTTATAACATGGATAGGAGAGTTTTCGTATTAAATGTATGCATTTTTCAAAATTCTTTGAAAAAAAAAAAAAAAAATCCAATTTGGCATCTTTTAAACGCAAACTCCGCATACGAGAGTTCAAAATCCGTTTCAGAATATCATGTTACATGGGTATGGCGCAGGTGTGGCGCTTCGAGGCTGACCGGTGTATTGAGTTCCACAAAAATTCCTAACGACTCCTCACCGTAAATGTCGTAATTCTCTCTATCTCTTTCTCATCTTATTCTGTTATTCGCATTCTCCCCACCTTTCGCTTTCGCACGATGGAAGATTTTTTGATATACCGTAAAGACGACTCGTAAAGAATTCGTCATCGTCACGCTTCGATAATTTCATCATAAAATTGTACTTTGTTTTATGAACATTTTTTACACGTTAGATATTTATGTAGATACTTATGCAATATTTTACATTAACGCCAAATCATCTAGCTTTACTACGATGGCATCTATTCCACATTTTACATTATTTAATTAATAAAATGTATAAAATCTTATTTCTCGAATTCTATATAACATATGAGCTTATTCCAATTATAACGATAATGCACACTGCTATATAACGATATGCTTGTTACACAGTAGATATCAAAGGAGAAATGGTAACCCAATCCTGAGTTAAATAACATTATGTTATTTTTAATTACCATCTGTGTCAAAATGTAAATCAATCCATGTCTGTAGTTAGTTTCAAAGTAAACATCCGTATTAACATATACATTTGATAAATAATAAATTAAATTGAAGTAAAATTAAATAAATTTTCTTCAGTTTAATCGTTTAATCTCATTGTTTTAGTCAAATTAACAATATATTGGATAAAATTAATGGCGATCTAAAGAAATGATTGAAAATAACTCATATTGAATATAATTTGACATTATAAATTTAAAAATGTACGATCTACTCACATCCATTCACATTTATATTCGCTATGTGTACAATTCCTGATAGGTTCAAGAGAGATTTTTCTCGATTATAATAATGATGAACATTGTTACAGTTAATGATGTGACACGGGTGCAATAAATCAATCATATATTGTATCGTAATTTATATGCCTCTCATTATTGAATTCCTAATTTAGCACAGTCGTTTATATAGCGAGCAATGACTTAAGATAAATTGGAATAATCCGTACATAATTAAAGTCAATATCATTAAGTTGCGTGAAGCACATTCAATAGGCGTGCATCAATGATTGCCACATATCATTAAGAAGATTTAATATCCTTTCCTGTAACCTTTGAACCAAGTTCTTAATGTACTATTTCTAAAGACAAGGCAAGAATTTTTCACAGGAATAATAATCAACGCTGTAAATAAATATACAAGTCTTACATTGGGGTTTCTCTCTGCTGCGAATGACTTAGCGCCTTACTAGCTTCAGCAATTCAATTGAATCTTCTTTATTCGTTCGAGAATGTACATTACGCAGAATGGTAAGTACAAAACGTGGTGTTTTATTAGAGTCGCCATACCAGTCGGGACGAGCGCGAGTGCGCGTCCGAAAAACCGACGTCGAAAAAGAACGCGCAAACTCGTTCAAGTCTTACAGCGGACACAGTCCTTGGGCGGCGCCCGGTCGCGAAGGTAGGCCACACCGATGCGAAATGCACTTGATTTATGTGCGAAAATAACCAATTAACTGGCGTAATCGGCGTACGCGATGCGTCGTGTCGCATCGCCTCCGCTCGGCGCGAAGTCACGGAAATCCTCAACTGCGCGTACGATTCTGAAGTACAATAGGTGCGTGCGAAGATGCAAATACATTATAAAGGAAACAAGAGAAAGAACGATGATGATGATGACGACGACGATGAATTTCTTTTCATCTCTTTGCGCGAAGAATGAAAATAATGCAAAAACAACGGCGACGGACTTGACGCGCGAAGCGACGGCGGTGCGCGGAATTCGAGAGTGCAACGAGCGTTATGCAACGATCAAACCGGAATGTCGAGGTGCTCCACGCCCCCAGGAGACGCCGAAATTCTCGTCAATCTTCCTCTCGCAGAAAGGAAGAGTGGGAGCAGAAGATGCTTTCGCGAAACCCACTATCCTGATGCTGCTCGATGCAACAGATAAAAATGATATAATCATCCGCACACGTCAAAACATCTATGTTAAAAATAAAAACTAATTATGATAACCTTTCAGAGGCGAGACAAATTGGATAAATATGCTTCGAGTAATAAAACTGAAAAAAAAAAAAAAGATATTTGCATGAAAAATGTAGAAATTGGAAGCCACACACAATAGGAAGTCAATCCCGATTTGGTACTTGAAATTACGTCACACGATACATTGATTCTTCTTTTGTGGCAGAGTATATAAACAGATTTAATCGTCAGTGTAATAAAACAATCTTCACGGCTCATTAAATTTCATCATTGTTTAAAAGTCCGCCCATTTAAATATGCGTTTAATGCATTTATCGGTAATACCTCATATAGCTATATGTAGAGTAATATGTTTTCTGGCGACAGACAAACGACACGCGGTCGCAGGTGGAGGACATGCGGGCGAGAGAGTAGAATTGCAATCGGCATGGCATTATCGCTTATGCAATCGAAGCTTCACGTCGATTTACGTTGGTTTCAGATCGAGACGACGGCGGTAGCTGTCGCCAACCCGCTTTCCTGGCACATCCCAAGGCCGTCCTTGGTCGGACGCAGCGAGAGGGACAGCGAAAATGGAAGCTGGACTCATCACTTGCATCCGAACTCCCCCTCGAGAGGGTCGACGTCGTCTCAAGGATCCACTGCCAGTACACACGTAAATTTCATCTCCTTAACGCGACCATTCACAGAAATATATATATAAATTAGCTTTTTTAATTAAAACCCACTTTCAAAGTCGAGAAAAAATTCTGCGAATAATTTAAATTACACATAAAAAAAATCGTATAATAACTCTTAATTATATGTATAGAAAATTGGATACCGCTGGAATGAGTTAGTTTTCATATATAATGTAGTTCATAATGTGATGAAAAACAGATATCACAAAGTCCAATAATAGACAGTTTTTGAACTATGGTGTATCAAAAATGTAAAACTTGTGCTCACAGAGCACTTTTGCTACACTACAGTTAAAAAACTATCTCTCGAGTCTTGACATCTATGACATCCTTTCTTCATCATATTACAAGCTACATTATATGTAAAAACTAATTTACCGAGACCTAATTTTTCACATAATTAATGCGAAGTCTTTTGCCAGACAGTCCTAATATCAAAGTGATAAATCTAGTTTTCTATGTTACGCAATAAATCGAGGTATAAACAGTCTTCGGAAACGAGTTTTCGTGTCTTATAACATTCTAATCAAATTTTCCGATGGTACGATTTACAGAGCGCCGCGTCGGGAACGTTGCTACTCACGGCCGCGAATCTGGCGAACTTCGCCGCCATACATCCACCCACGGTAACGGCACAAAAGCAGATGGACACTGCCTCGGTGGCCAGCAGCACCCACTTCACGGTCGTAAACGGTCTCGGCAGACCGACCACCGTCTACAGGAAGTCTTGGTGCGCGCGAAATCAGCTCACCGTTCTCGTGTGCACTATGAGTTTTCTGTTTATGGTCGGTCTGCTCGCCGGGATTCTTTACATGGAAAGTGAGTATCTGCCACAGCAGCAGCAGCAGCAGTCGCTATTGCTACATCCACGGTGTTTCAACATCGCGCACGATCTCCGTGGATTCAGTGGATTCACTATCCACGAACTTCCTTGCTGACGTTTACCTCTGATTGCAGTGAGGGCTCGCGACAAGTACAACTAGGCCGAGGGTGAGCGAGGGGAGGAAGAAACGGCAACGACACGTGACCGTGAATGATGATCATAGTGAAACGAGCAACGAGGGAAATGACTACTTTAGAGAGAACGGGAAAGATCATCTCCATGAAGACTAAAGAGAGAAAAGGAGAAATGTACGATCCAGTCACGATATTAATTTGATTTACTCATATTTATACGTATATACATCTGCGTTGTAAGCTATTCAGGCCGTTCTCAGTTAGTAGATGTTCCCAGCGACGGTTAGAGTCTTAAGCGTATACTGTATAGAATCTTAAGTGTATTGCACCGCGACAAAAGTGTGGTACGTGAAAACCAGTAATTACATTTGTGTAATGAGCGACGTACTGTTAAGGGATTGACGAGATCCTCGCGATGGGATAGCCTTGCGTATTTATGCTGGAATTTAACGGATTCTTCGGATCGTACTGCGAGACACGATTCGGCGAATAACGTAAATATTTTTATGTTAATTAACTTCTTATCGCGTAGCACGTGTCATATAGAGCACAAGCAACTTTCTCTAAAATTTCTTCACTATTTTACTGTGTGGTTATGACATCTCTCCCCCCCCCCCCTCTCTCTCTCTCTCTTTCTCTCTGCACACCACATCATTTTTTGCATAGAAAGATACATGTGGTACGGGGTTACGGACGACGGTGATACATCACGTGGTTTGCGATTGCTTCAAGTAAAACGTACTTTTCGTATACGTTTTTCAACGCTTCTCCTACATAGTTCTCAACTGATTTATCATTTGCTGTAAATCGCATTGACATTATCGAGAGCTAATAACGGAGAAGAGATGCATAATAAAGTATCACTGAAGTGTCACTAATCCTAGTCGTCCAACAAAATCTTGAATATGGGGCCTTATTCTCGAAAAATATCTCGTACGAAAATAATATAGTATATATTACATATATTATAAATTTTCGTATGCTATAAATTTCGTATGATATAGATTTAAAAATATAAGCCCTGATAGTATTTTGAATAACAAATACCGACGGACAGTTTGAAGCAATCGACGAGATGGGACCGAGATAGCAAATATCTATTTAGGACCTATAATTTAATTTTTACTAACAAACTACCTTAATAATACCTGGATTTCCGTCGGATTGTTATTCCGGGAGCGAATGTAAACGGAAAAGCAATGAAGGGCGGTCGCATAGATCGCTTTTCGCGTCTGTGATATTACTTGCGTATTAATCATCGATTCAACAAGAAACTGTCAAATATATTAAATGTTGTTTCATTTCAACCCCTGTCCTTTGCAGCATATTGATATTCAACAAACAATTGAAGAATGATACAATATCATAAGGTAAGTAGACGTACAAAATATGAAGTAAAATATAACGAGATTAATTAAGTTTAACAACGATGACAATCTTTTTCTATATATATATGCATAATTCAGAATTTGACTAGATTTATAAATTTCATAAAATTTATATAAATTTTATTATGCCTAGATTGCATGATAATCATTTATTGGCATAAACGCAAATTCATATGCAATTTAAGGACATACGATATAAAATTTTTCGAATTAAAAGAATTTTATAAAACAATAGTCTATCAGCATATTAATCTATTAATTAATCTATTAGCTTTACTCTATTTATTAACCACAAAATTTCGATATTTTGATAACTCGACTATTGCTGTCGAAATTAAAATAAATCCAAATTGCTGCTTATAAACAAAGAACAAAAAGATATTTGAAAATACTTTTCTAACTTTTATAAATATATAAAAAAAATATTTCGGCGCGTCACATGTGCAGTTGATCATATAAAAAATATAACTCTATAAGCACTTACCTCCACTTCTCCAAGAGTTTGTGTCCATCTGTAATTCGGCATATCTGCACCATTACCACTGTTAGGCTTTAGTTTATTTTTCTCCTTTTCATCTTCTTCTTCATCAGATACGTTGCTATTATTCGAATCTGTATTTTTGTCATTTGAAGCGTTATCACTAGAATCGTTGCTAGATCCTGCCACAGCAGCATTTGCTAATTTCTGCACAACAAAAAATTATGTAATTGAGTATTATATAATTTATGCCTTTGATATCTTAAAAAAAACTGTGGTACGCGATTACAGAGCCACAATACTAGTGTCAAATAAGGTTTTCAATACATGTATTTTGGATACACACTATACATCTTGACACACATAGGGATACGCCCATGGATCGGCTAGTACGAGTATAACAGAATATCAATATTCTTTCCATTTTTACACAAGTTTTTAAAAGTTTAAAATCCTATATGGATCCTCTTGCTTCTGCATTTTTCTTTACTATATATAATAATAACATATTAATGGTTCAACAATTATTTCAATTATTTTTTTCAAATGTCTTTTTGAATATTACAAAATGAAAGAAAAGATCTAAAATATTAACAGATAAGAAATAGCTGATCCAAAGAGTGTAAAGTTGATCAGTCGATAATATACGTATAATCTTAACAACACTACGGCTACGTTATTCACTGCAAGTATTGAAAATCTATAGTATACATTACTATAGGTTTTCTATATGCAGTGAATAATAGGACCTCAAATAATACGAGATAATTTTATTTGAAAAACCATCGATTATCTTCAAATATAACCAAAAAATCCAAAATAAAAATTATAGTATTTTACTATATAAATACCTTGTTGTCTATTTCTTCTTGTAATTTAACAGCCTGTTCATCGGTTAATTCAACTATTTTAGAATCATTGTCTATTTTCTCTTCTTCCGTTTGTTCTTCTTTCCTCTTCTTCTCCAGTCTCTCCTTACGCCTTCTCTCTTGCTCTGCTCGTTCTGCTTTTTCAGAAGCAGCTTTGGCGAGAGCACCGGCTTCATATTTTTTGAATTTGCTCATTACAAGCTGCACATGAAAAGAACAAATCCGGTCAATTTGAAACCGTTTTAAATGATAATAAAAGAAAATTATTTTGCGTTACCTCTCGCATACAGAATTACCTTTTCAGCTGCTCCTTCGCCACCACCGGTATAAAAGTCTGTTTTCCTCGCAAGAAAACTGAAGAAAGTATCCAGCAACTAAAAAAGAAAAGCGAAATCTTCCTATCTTTTAGACAGACTTATGAAAATATAAATATTTCATCGCGCGAGATAACCTCAAACAAGAAAATTACTTACGTCCTGCACACCACCTTCATGTTGCTGTGCCAATGCCAGCAACATTCCATCAAATTGGTCCTCGGTTTTTGTCATTGTTCGTTAAAATTTATGCGGTATCACAATTTATTTTGTGAAAAAAGGCTGCAATAATCGTCACGTTAAATAAGTACTCGCTATCGCTACAGGTAGCAACGGTTACGCAGCTTTGTTAGTAGACTCTAACCACGTTTCCATGTGGAAATGGAAACATCTCGAATTATCGACCGGATTGAAATAGCGGCCAGCTATACAATACCGACAGCGTACTCTGACAGCAGAGCAACGGAACAACTTCGAATCGGTTATCGACTATTAATAATAAGCATTTTTTTAAATAATTCTCTTCAGTATTTTTCTTGAAGATAATTGCAAAAAGCAATTCTTGAATATATATCTTGAGTAAAAAGAAATACCTGTAAAAAAACTCTTGAATACATTTTAAATAAAAAAGAAAATTATATAAGAGAGAGATACATTTTAATGAAAGATAACTGACAATATCTCCGTACATATACAATGTTGATTATTAAATGATTTAATATTACGATAAGTATTTTAATATAAATATATACGTAAAATTCCGTGTTTATTTTTTTATAAGATTGTTTTAATTCGAAAAAATTGTATACTTTAATAATAGACACTATTTTTATCTTACTTTGTGATATATATTCGTTATAATTAAATGTTATCGATTTTCGCATTTACGCTAATAGATGATAATTATATAATCTAGACATAATAAAATTTGTATAAATTATATATAATTTCAGAATTATAAATTCAGTCGCATCTTGAATTACGCACACTGAAAAAATAAACCAAATTTTAATAAATCATTCGTTTGAACAACACTAACAAAATCCCTGACGAAAATAAAAATCGTGAAAAGAACGTAAGGGAAAAGTAACAAAAGCATGAACGAAACTTTTATATAATAGAAGGTAAAAATCGAAACAATGAAACGTAAAAGAAGCATAACCTCTTTTACGTTTCGTTTATGTTTTTATTTCTCTCCCTTTACATTTGACTTATGCTCCGATTTTTATTTTTGTCAAGAATATTTACTAAATATAAAAAGATTTGCCTTCCTTCCTTCCTTCCACTTCCCTTCAAAAGAAGTTTGTACGGAAAGTCTCGAACATCCTATATATTAAAAATCATTGTCATCATTGTTAAACTTATATTTATTTAATTACTTAATAATCTCGTTACATTATATTTCATATTTTTAAATCGAATTCTAATTTAGTTAATAATTAGCATGTTTCATAATATAATTAAATTAATGTAATTATAAATTAAACTATTATATTATTAATTAAACTAGATATTATTGCTATTATATTAGGGGAAAGTGAGCGAATTGTGCGCACCTAAGGGATATTTGTTTTTCTGGGATGGTTTTCTAAGTTCAAAGCGATATAAATAGGGAAATAGAAACTATAAACATTCTCCTACCATTACGTATTCTTATATTGAACAGATTTTCATTCAATAAGGTTGTATTTGGCAAAAAGGAAAAAACGGAAAAGCGAAAAAATTTGTCACTCGTCGGGTAATTGTGCGCATGGGTTAGGGAATTGTGCGCAAAGCAAAAGTTGTAGGAAGTGAATGAATTATGTAATGTAGACAAAGAAAAAATCATAAAATACATTTATAACATTGTAATATAAATATGTATTACATATATTATATATATTTAGCAAAAATATAAAACTAACCTCTAATAATATTAATCCAAAGTTAATAATATTATAATATTATTAACAGAAATAAAATTTAAATATTATTTTATTTTATTTTAATATAATTTTATTTTTAAATTTTATTTTATTTATAAAATTTTATTTTATTTTTATTTTGGATTGATATTATAATATCAATCCAAAGTGGGGTTATGAATCTATGTTGACATGTGATAACTTTTTACAAAAGTAAACAAGTAGTGACGTCATAACCTGAGTATAAAATACTCTGCTCACTTCAAATTCAGTTTTACTTGTGTATACTGGAAAATAGCTATATAGTCTATTGAAGATGGGTAATTGTGCGCATTTCAACCCGCCTGCGCACAGTTCCCCGCCACGATCTGACTCTATATGAAATACGATTACTTCAATACTAGTTAACCAAACTTAATAAATAACGGATCTAAAGGCGCACATAATAACGTACTTTAATAACGTTGCAACTTTAAACCAACAAATTAAAAATACGGACTTACCACCTTATTTTCTGAACGCTGAAATAACAAGAAAATATATGTTTTCACTTTTTTATTTTTCACTGTTTATCAATGTACTTACGTCATATCATTTGTGGTTATAACTTAAGAGGACGACCTCCTGCGTAAAAATTTCATCACGGCGATGTCTCCATCTATCGGCAAAGTGCCAAACCAGGATGCGCACAATTACCCGCTGCGCACAATTCGCCCATTTTCCCCTATTTCTATTTTAAAAGAAATTTTACTACACTAGGCGTCATCTATTTTAGAAATTATTCTTTACATGTAAATCATTATATTCCTGTTTTCTTTCCTCTTATTGCCGATTTTAACGGGTAACCTTTAATATACATTTTAGTTTTTGGCACTATTAATACACACATTCGGTCATTCGTATCCTGGCTTAATTTTCATTACTTTTACAAGTATATATAAATTATTAAACAATTTTTATATATATTTTGACATCTGTAGAAAGCATTTGTACAGTTATATATTCATAACAAATTGTAGATAAATTGTTGTAATTAAATATAGTTAACGAAATGAGAAAAATGCACTGTTTCATATAAAAATGTAAAACTCTGAAACAAAAATGTTTAAAAGTAAAATATGGTTCAATATCTTAAAATTGACATTCCAAACTACAAGAAAAAAATAGTTCAAGTGTCGGTTGTCCAAAACGTTTAGTTATTAAGTAACATGAAAATGATGACTAATTATAATTTATTAGGAAAATGTATTTTATAATATTACAGACAACAAAACAAAACAATTTAGAATCAGGATACTAAAAATCGCGTTTATTAAGGACTAATATTTTTTTAGGGTTAAATGCCTTTTTTTAATAATTTGCGAAATATTCCCGCAATACAACTGAGAATTAGTTGAAAATAAAGAAAAAGAATAAAAATTTTTTTAGTTCTAAAAAATTTACACTGTACATACATTGGATCATTTGTGATCCAGAGGTGATATATAACTTTGAAGTTATAGCCAGTTAAAGGATACGCATGAATTGAGGCCGGTAACGCACAAAACTTGTTCTCTATAGATGCCAAACTTTTTTTAGGAATAAAAAGAGACCGGTCTTTGACCAGTTGCTCTTAGTATTTCAAACAAAAGAAATGAGCAGGACACGAATGACTCAGAGCTGTGTATTAAAAGTTAATTAAATCTTTACAAGTGTCGTTTAAGAAGAGATGTACTCTCAAGATATATTTCTTAATTAACGAAATATTTACTCCTAAATATTTCTAGGCATTTCACTTCCACAGCCTGTAACTTGTTACGGGATTTTTCGTGCCGTTTATTTCGCCGAAATCAGATAAAGGGCGATCTGACGCACAGGTTGTTTCGACTTAAATTGTTAGTATCGCCTAATCGTTCAAGCGTTGAGAAAACGGCAATGAGCGGCAGAGAGAGGGAGATGGGGACGCGGCCCTTGTCGACGATTCCAGGTAATTCAGGGAAACATGTAGCAAAACAACATGCGATGGAAAAACCCAAGTCGAAAAATAATGTGCAAGAACTCACCGATAGCTGAACGCGCGCCGATCGATCTCCCGCTGTTAAATAATATCCCTCCTTAATCCTTATTCCTCTTCTTATTCCTCTGTGCTCCGTATTGCTGGAATATGAAGGAATATTCGAACGAGGAATAAAACGAACGAGACACAACACGACGGATGTCGATCGCGCGAATGTCCGAGATACGCGCTGATGGCGGTTACACAAAGACCGATTATCACTCTGTGACGATTCATCGCTGAACTGAATCCGATATTCCGATACTCCGAACACTCGTACGCGAAATTTAGCCGAGACGGAGCAAGCAAACCGTGAAAACACACACGCACGAAACTGTTTTAATTACGCACAGGCGAGGCGCGATGACGCGATGCTAACCGATTGGTAACTACAAAATTTCGGTCACGTGACCGTTCAGCCTTGGGCTGCGTTCGGAGAGCGTGCTATCAACGCTATTTGTGTCATACTATCCTTGTTTCACGTTTAATGGAGGGTGAAGATAGAATGACAAATAGCGCTAATAGCGTCTCCCCGAACCCAGTCTCGCACACCCATTGGCGTGACAAATTTCTTAACGCCGCGACGTTTTAAAATGTTCAAACGCAGTTTTAGCAGTTTGAAATCGAATCATAATTGAAATTAGATTATAATTGATATTCAATTATATAAACAAAATAAATTCTCGACATGCGATTTATTGAAAATATTAAAATACTTTTTTTAGTATATACTTTAATTAGTATATACATCCTAATATTTTTGAGAAAAGCGATTATTGTTGCCTATCTTATTCGCTCTTCTCAAATATTAAGATGTATCGAAGTTCCTATAATAACAAGCTAAACATATATTCAGCTAACAGCTAAGTTAAACGGTTAGCTTATTATAATAACAAGTTCTATAGTAATAATAATTTTGTTCAACTATCAAATCAATTATGTAGAACTTAAGCATTCATGTTAATGCTGCAAAAAGTTTTATTATTATAGCAACCAGCTTCAGCATCATATGTAATTATTTTGATGGTTTAACGAAATTATTTTCAGATCTGTCCCAGACAGCACACAATATTTACAAAATATTTACAAAATATTTACAAAATATTTAGAAATATTTATAAGATTTATTTTAAATATTTTTGTGGTTTTAGATTGCACAGATCGTAAATATTTATTATAAATATTATGAAATACTTATTAGAATAGTTTTAGTAAATGCTATAAATAATACTTAATGAGACGTTATAATCCAAATAAAAAATACTTATTAGAAATGTTTATTTATATTTATCATAAATATTGCATAAAATATTTAGTTTATATTTTAATAATATTTCTCTCGAATAAAGCTTTATGTAAGATATGTATAAAATATCTACATAACATTTCAAAAAATGAATATTTATAAATATTTATCATAAATATTCTGTGCTGTCTGAGGTATCTAGCTAAATTTTTTAATATTTTAGCAAAACTATTCTTTTCATGTATTTATAAGTTGAATAATATTTTTTTGTCTAATCTAATGTGAAATTATAGATAATATAGATGTATATAAGATCATAATATATTGTAGATATCAAAACGCGACAAACAACATTATTGTATTATAACCCCAGTTGATAATATTATTAAAAAATTTAGCTCAATAGCTGTGTCCCAAAATTTACTGTCAGTGTTGAAAATCTATAGTGTACATAATGTAAATTGGAAATTATATATTTTAACATTGGCAGTGAACACAGCCTATATTGTTTTATGTCATGCGATCGCGATATGTTATCGAATGTATATTTTTATCAATTTTTATCCGTTTAGGTTATAAATCACTTTAAATCGTTTTCCTTTCTCATTGTACATACTCAGGCATGGCATTTGACAGGACGGAGAGATTCGTGGAAATAGCTACGTCAACTCCTGCTCGAGTGGGTCCGGGGACTTACGATATATCGGATCCATCAAAGCCAGCTCGAGATCTGAGTAACTTATATAATGCACAACATTCGCGAATTTTTCAATAAAACTTGCATTCGCACGCGACGTGTATACCATTACGTAACATAGACTACGTTCCACAGACAACGCTTATCCATTTTTGAGCGGAGCTAGCCGGCAGACACTCGGCATACCAAAAGATGTGCATAAGTTCCTGGGTCCTGGTTCTTACAATATAGAAGCGCCACGGAAACATATACCAGAACGTGCATTTTCCCTATTTATGCTTCATTTATTTGCAATACTTCCGCATCGGCATACACGCGGATATTTGATATCACCTAAGATTCAATAATTTACAGGGCAGCATTAGTCTTGATTATACCAATGTTAGATTTAAAGGAAAGGTACGTGAAGGACCAAGTTCAACACAATATACCTTGCCCAATGATTTGTTTAAAGAAACGCCTCAAAAAATAAGATCCCATCCGGGTACTTGGCATGGTTCCGCAGGCAAAGTAAATAAAGTATTTTCTTATTTATGTATTTCTGTTTTAATACCCTGCAAATATTCGAAAATATTACACTGAGAGAAAGTGTTTGATATTTGTAATTATAATTACACTAAATTAATTGGTAAAATTAATTGGTAAATTAATTGGTAAAATAACAAAGACAACCTAAATAAGGGCTAATGAGAGTCAGCACAAACGAAGATATGCAATAAATATTTCAACAATGATTTTGTTAATTCATACGATGTGTTGATATCATCTTTATTTGAAATCTTGAACGTTTCGATTCTCTTTGGAATCTTCATCAGCAATCTTCTTAAACCTACTATACTAGATTTCGCGAACACTCGATGTGAAGTCACTCGCCATTATGTCTTAGACATACTCGTCACTCCAGATAAATTGGACGGAGTTCAAACAAATTTACATTAAATGTATTATAAAGTGTGGTTAGTTGTGAATATTAATGTATTATCCAAGGTTTCATGATGAGATTTGGCGATCGTGTGAATAACACTACAGTTTTGGCCAGGGATGGGAAAGTTACTTTGTAAAAAGTAATTAATTACAGTTACAGTTTTTCTCTCTCAAAAAGTAATTAATTACCGTTACAAGTTATTGACTCTGAAAAGTAATTTGTTACAGTTACAGTTACTGAAAAAGTAACTTTAAGTTACTTTTAAGTTACTTTTTTCATCGGAATTTTTACTAGTATAGTATCGATACCATTAGGGCTGCATTCAGAAACGTTATCCAACTGCCTTCATATATCATTTTACCCTTGTTTTTCACCTAATATTAAACAAGGATGATACATGGGGTCATCAGAGTAACGCAGCCTAGTACAATTAAAAAAAAAGACTAGCTTACATTTACATGTTATATAATTTTATTCAAAAAGATAAAAAAATTATATAGCAAAGATAAAAAAATTATATAGCAACGTTTTTCGTTAAAGTAATATAAACACATATGAATATGAATATGAATATGAAATAGCACACACATATACAATGTACAATTTGATTGGCGGATTCTATTAGATCCAAAAATATAGACCAAACAGGTGCAAGAGTTCATTGAACGTTTTAATTAAATTTTTTTCTTCTCATTAATCAAATATTTCGAACTATTTGTAGCGCCAAATGGACACTACCGCACACTAAATTGATAAATATTTTTAAAATATATAAAATAACTATGAAAGTAAAACTATTAAATTAGTTACTAGTTACTTAAAAGATGTAACTAAGTTAAGTTATAATTACACATGGAAAGAAAGTAACGAAGTTAAGTTACAATTACTGAAAAAAATTAACTCTAACTGTAACTTCGTTACAAGTAACGAGTTACTTCCCATCCCTGGTTTTGGTAACCTGCAAGTGACTTCACATCGAGCGTTCGCGAAATCTAGTATGGTTTAAGAAGATTACTGATGAAGATTCCAAAGAGAATTGAAACGTTCAAGATTTCAAGATTACAAATAAAGATGATATCAACACATCGTATGAATTAACAAAATTATTGTTGAAATATTTATTGTGCATCTTCGTTCGCGCTGGCTCTCATTAGCCCTCATTTAGGTTGTTTTTGTTATTTTAAGAAAGAGAGAGTCCTTGTTTAACATATTTATTACTTTTTAATTGGTAAAATAATAATTATAATTAGAAATTCCATTTTTATAATTATTACTGCTATAGTATAATATTAGTGACAATAATTATATTCATAGCTCTATAAACATAATAACATATTTAACGTAGCTATTGTTTAGCTATGGTTAATTCGTCCTCCGCGACTGCTCACGACAGGCCTTGCCGTTCCTTCGAAACATGACGTTGGCGGATACGATTACAATGAACGAGGCGTACTCGTAAAAAATCCGGTCATCGAACATAAGCCAACCGATTTTTACGATGTTCCTCGAGGGGTATGAATAAGGTGCCGAGTGGCTTCCGTTTGTGAAATATCTTGCGAACGATTATTTATACCGCAGGAGACAAACTTTACTACTCTGAAGTACAAAGGAAACTTTTGGAGCAGAATGAAGGGTAGAGATGACGAACGGACTTCCGTGACCCCGGGTCCCGGGGACTACGAGCACGAAACAAAGAAAAGTCCCGCCCAAATCCACGACGAGAGAACTAGGGAAGCGAAAAGAGCCGCCGCTAAGCAGCCACGTTTCTTGGAAGCTTTGTACCAGCAAAAATTACGCCAAGTAATTTTAAGAACATGCTTTGTAACTTTCGCAGTCGCCGGTTCGTTCGCGAAAACTCTGAACCGGGAAACTGCCTTTGTATCTGTGAGAATCGCCTTATGGAAATTTGCTTTTTCAAAGAACTTTCCAGCTCCCAATCACTATGACTTACCAAAAAGCGTGTTCGATAAACGTATTCTGTGTAAATGTGACCCTTTTATGGTAGAATCGCCACCATTCAATCAATCTGCGAAGGTACGTTTCTATATATTTGCTCCAATTATTATAACACAATTATAATTTATTCTTCTTCTCTTAAGAGATTCGAGGAGAATTTTCGACCAGATACACCCGGACCTGGAACTTATGAAATTACAGTTCCGCAAATTTGTTATGGTTCTATTCTTCATGCACCGTTTAGTGTTTTCGACGATCGTTTCAAGAGAATTATTGAGGAGGTGCTACCAGGTATATGTTATGTAACTATAATAAATTTTTTAGTTAATATGCACATGATACATAGAGTATTAGAACTACATCATAAATTTACATTACAGGTCCTGCAGATTACCACACAGATATCGGAACTTTAGCCTTTGAATCCGCAAAGCGTTTTAAAAATAAACATGAAAAAATGTTTGACTACATAAAATTTTGCAAAACGCTACCATCGATAAGCGACAATGATGAATATATGATAATGGAGGAAGGTCAAGTAATGAAGAAAGTAGACGAAGAAAAGTATCCGGTATATCATGCAGTCTTCAAATCAAGAGTAGATAGATTTCCAAAAATGCGCAAAAATGTGAGTAATATAAGAATTTTATGTGCTTAACGTAGCGTATTATTTATTTCAATTCTGATTAATTCAATTGAAGTCATAACTCGTACGATCAATTAGTACTTTGAGTAGAAACTTGTTTTAATTTTATGTACAATCCTAACTTTATGTTACTTTATCGATATACTGCAATGAAAATGCACGTGCTATTAGCCCAGTACGCTAAGAGGTGTCAGCACCGCCATAAAAATGTGATACTATAATAATAAATTCTGTAAATTTATTTATAAATCAATATATTTATCATAATAATTTTTCATATGGATGATGTATTCTAATCGATATAAATCATTTTTAACGTGACGATCTTTCATAAAAATGTTCTAAATATAAAGTAACGTGCAAAATAATGTTTTAACAATAATTTGCATAAATTATTGTTAAAACTTAAATAATAACAAAGTCAATTATCACATACATGCTCAATAAATAAATTACTTCTTTAAATTAACATCCAAGATTTCCAATCTTGTATTTAAAAAAAATTATATCTAAACAAAGTTATGTTTAGAATATTGACAAAACATATTATATTATTTTTATACATATACATATATATATATATATATATACTTTATATTAATCAAGCCGAATTAACCAATCTGGAAGGGCTGCAATAAATAAAGCAGTCGAAATTGCTCCTAGAGCGTTTAAGGGCATAAAGCTTAAGACGGTGAGAGATTCGAGCTAGTAGTCACAATAAGTCTGTGGTCAGACCGAAGATTCTTTCGACTTGCTCGGGAATCTGTGGGCTCGGTAGAACCGAGTAATCCGGGAAGCACAAGGTAATCAGGAGAGCCGGAGACGAAATTAATGGCAGTGGATCGAACCGATGCATCTGTACCCGGGGCGATTCGGGGCTAGGATCCAATCTGGCCGTTAATCGAGAGCGTCGGAACGAGATTCGATGCTGCAGTCCATAGATAGGCTAGGATAGAGTCGTCACTACCGAGCGACTTGCTGCTGATTCCGCTGTGTTCGATGAGTTCGTGTAGTTTAGATTAGCTGACGTTTCATTTAAACAATCAAAACAGTTCAAAATTGTCAGTGAAATTTATAGATGACACTGGTGTATGATGTCAACTGTTAAATTAAGATTATTTACTAACAGTCAGTTTCTTGCTAAACGATCAAACTTCATGATAGTTGACAGGCAATATCCCCCTTTTCGTTGGATGTTTTCGAGGAAACTGTATTTGCATAATGTAGGGAAGAATAGTGACTGTGTACGCCGGAAATGACATTTTGCTGCGCTCTGCAGGTCATTTCCACATAGAAGCGCGTGGCCGATGTTGCCCAGAGAAATCACTTCCGGCTCGTTGAGCCGGAAATTCGAGCCAATCCCTGCAATGGTGTCTCTATCTCTGTAGTGCGAATTGCGAATAGCCGGAAACATCGGCGCTTAGGTTTGTGTCCGAATCAGCCGCCATTCTGTTAAATTAATTAAATGATTAAATTATAAAGAAGAGGAAAACATGTCTCTCCTCTATTCTCTTCTAATAATTTAATCAGGCGGGAGTAATATGTTTCGGAATATAAAAATACAAATACTTACGACGAATTTTATCTCGTAATTATTATAATATTTAAAATAAGATCAACACTGAGAGAAAAGATTTTGTTATAAGAACAAATCAAGGGAAAGCAAATGTGATATTTGTTAAAAAAACAATCGATTTGTTATGATTGCAAATTAATTCGTCAATGTAACAAATAATCAATAGTATCGCTAGCAAATAAGAGGCTCATATATATATAAAAGTCATAGACGGTTGAGACAGGGTCTCAAATCGTAAGAAATTGATTAATCCTAGTCAAGTATTCTCCCTATATTTGACTGTGCTTGGTCGGTTTCTTACAACTTAAGATTCCACGATCATCTACGAATTCTATGTAAACGAGCTAAAGTCTATCCAAAAGATAGGTTAGATTCTATATAGTTTGTTCCTGTTACTAATAATTGGTTGGTATAGCAGACTAGCAGCAATCACAACAACATAATTTGTTGTTACATATTTACCGATCACCGGTTAAAGGTACTGGTGGCTTGCTAAATTAACAAAATCCTTTCTCTCAGTGAAGTGATGTGTCAATATTCATTTCAATTAAAAATCATTTATCTTTCAATTTTGATAGGGTGATGTACCGGATTCAGGTGCTTACGAAGTTTTATCAGCTTTCAAAGCTAATCGTGATAGATGCGATTTTCTTTGTCGACGATTAGCTCCACCCTTCGGCTCTCGCGCTAGTCGGTTTCCGATGATACCAGAAGACGATTTCCATGTACCAGGTATAAAGTGAAGTAAATATCAAATTGTCTACGAAGCTTTTTCATTATTGCTATGCGTGCATAGGTCCAGCACACTACGATCTCAGGGGAGATATATCAAAGAACGTGAAGAATGGCGTGATATATTCTGCTCCTCGTGAAAAAAAGATGGATATCAAAAGGCCAGGACCATTGCATTATCACGTAAGATTCTTTCAATTTATGAATAATCGATGTATTTATGGAATGTTTTTTTTTTTTTACTACTAAACTTTTTTTATTACTAAAGATCTACTTTATTCACATATACACATATACTTGCAATATAAGTTTTATAATAAATAAAAATCAAGTATTAAGTTTTTAGAACTTTAAAAGATTAAAAATCACTTATAATAAATGAAAAAATTATGCAATAGATACATACGTAAAAATGTATGTCAATATATATGATGTTTGCGATTGTATATATAATTAATTACGTATGCATTGTTCTGATGAGTTTTATATTAGTTCGATCTTGTACGCGTTGAGAAATTATTATATTTTAATGACAACCGAGCGATCACTTTCGATCAATTACAATTTTTAATCTTCTGACTCGTAAAAGCATTCGATAGTATTTGCTTAGTTATGATATGGCAGGATATTGCATACTCACCGCATATGAGAATAATACCGGATGCTTCAGATGATGATGTATGAGGCACAGTTATGCACTGTGAGATGGCTAGCATCCTGCATTATTCTGTCTGCTGTATTTTCGCTGTATCCGTGCGTAAAATAAATTGCAGATATATTAGAAAAATGCGGATTTCTTACTTACGAATATTCTAGGATATTAAGCATAAAAATATAAAATGGGTTACTTAACGGGTCGCTTGACCGCTTGACGTGTAGATGTAAATTTTATTGTGTATCATGACGCAAGACACGTAAGATAAATTGAAAGTGACTAAAATTGTCAATATATTAATATAAAATTATCAATGGATATAGTGAAGAAAAAACTCGACATGTCCTGGTAGCATTAATTGTACTTCTGTGAATATATTATTTCAACAGTATTTACATTATAAATTAAAATATATAGTGACATAGTTTGTAGGACATAAAAATATACTTACAAATAATAGACATGGTATAAATTATGGAGGAATAATATGTAATAATATTGATAACATTTAGATATATAGAAACATTATAGATAACGAATTTACAAGATTAGTAAGCAATTATTAATATCTCTTCTTTGTTGAATTATTGTTTTCATTTATGAGTATATCTGCAGAATATTGTATGTATAATAATCTTTTTATTAATTCGCATTGCAAATAATTTCCAAAAACATACTGGTCCTAGGATATTACGTTTTAATGTGACCCGGACACGTCAAGATTTTTCTTCACTATAATCCATTGACAATTTTATATTAATATATTGACAATTTTAGTCATTTTCAGTCTATCTTATGTGTCTTGCATAATAAAATACTTGGCTAATTACATTTATTTCATATCCATTTTTGATTAAGAAGAATGTATTCAATATCTTTTTTATGCATTTGGCGTATATTTTTTCTTTTTTTAAAAAGGTTTTTTTTAGGAATTTTAATTATTCATATATTTAACTGACTTTAAACTAACTTAGATGATAATTTAATCGTATTTAATTGATGTATTTAATTGCAAATTACATCAATAAAATTACAATTGCATTAATAAAAAAACGATTAAATTATTAACTGAATCAGTTTATTTAAAGTCAGTTAAATATATGTTAAATAAATAACTAATGTTATGATATGTTTAATCATAATTAACAATTTTTGTGTAGATACATCCATACAATGCGTCATCCATTTTGAAAAAGTCATTTAATGTCACTCTTGGTCAACCAAAGACCATACAAAGAATCAATGAAGTCCAAACTCCTTGGCAACATCGACGATCGAAGAAAATTCTTCGTTGGTTTGCTATATCTCGCGAAAAATATCAACATTGCAGCTCTCTCTGATATTTATTGATAAATTAGTTTAGTGAAATAAAAAAGTTTAATGACTTTAAAAAATCTTACACATATAATACACAATTATTAAGAACATGTTTCATTGTTCATAAAAACATTTTCATGTGCCTTTTAAAAACATTTGTGTTTTTAATGTAAATAACAATAAATTATAAGATTTTTGCCATAAGTAAATTATTTCATCTTTTATAACTGTTTTAAGTTACTCTATAAATCACTTACTTTTATCGAATATGTCGAACAAATATAAAAATTTCATAAATATTCAAATAAAAAAAAAGAATTTGCAACGCAATCAATTTTTTATACCTTTAGGAAAGATGGCAACTAAAATCAATACAGCGAAATGCTCAGTAAAAGACGTTCACTGAACTGTAATAGCCAAGTGTAATGATGCGTAAAGAAAGGCAAATGTTTTCCAAATATAAGATTATGCGGTTGAAATTTCTGCCGTTATACTCTTATTACCTATAATATTGAAGATAAATTGATATTTAACGTCCTTCAATAGACTTTGATAAGTTTTAATATTCGGTACATTAAATCTTAAACGTTCGCCGCACACAAATAATATCAAATATAATGTCATATTTTACAGTAAAATTAAATATTCACAAATTCTATATGAAAATTTATAATCTACCTGTTAAAATTTAAAGTCTAACATACACAGATAGCTAAAATTTAAAATCATGTTTTTAACTATAATCTATTAAAAAATACACAGCATCGGAAAATAAATGAGGTTTTAGTATGAAGTCATACATTTAAAAAAAATATGTATTAAGATAAGTACATAAATCACTGATACTATTTCAAGTTGTAATCTGTAATTTATAGGCAACACAAAAGGGAATCCATTTGGGATTACGCGACATACATGAATCCGGTTATCATCCAACGCAATGCCATGGCAGCTGACACATATCACAAATACAAGAAGAATACTCAATCAACAACAAATTTGAAAGCAAGAATAACTATTGGCTCAATAAAAATATAAATACTACGTTATATATAAAAAAGAAATATTATTTGTGTGACTAAAACAAAAAAAATATATCTTCGATAATTAAATACTACTAAATGCAAATAAATATATTTAAAAACTTTGATATTTTTAATCATTACATTTAAAAAAGTTTCAAATAATTAATTAAAATAAAAAGTGAAAAATATTCGGTGCATTTTACGCAGTACAATGTATAAATTATATCGTCATCTTACAATTAAAAGTAAAAAATTTTATCAGACCATCATTCCAAATAAGAAAGAAAAAATATGATTTGTTACTAATATAATTAATGGAGAATGAGAAATATAACTTATAAACATATAATATTATTATGAGACACAATATAACTAAAACAATTCAATTAATCTATTATTTGAATTTTTGACAATTATGTTAGATTTTAACCTGCTTTTAGAAATTAAACGTACCTTTTCTAGAGAAATAAGTAAAAAATATAGGTGATAATGCCGAGTACTTAATTTTAAATCAAAATTCATATATAATTATAATACATAAAGTAGTAATTTCAACACACACACTTATTAAATTTCTTAATTCATATTTCCTCGTATTTTGATATTCTCTTCAAAAAAACATATTAATATTTAAATCTTAATTTTCAAGTCAAATATTACATAATGGCAAACCAATCAATCAATATCTGTATATTTAATTATGCAACATATTATGCATTCACATTGAATCAATTAAGCGTTATGAATTATCTCTGTGGTCATAACCTGCTTTTGGCATATATCTAGATTTATAATATGTATGCTCGTGAGTTTCAATATCAGAAAATTGAGATCTAATACAGATCTGTATTTACATCTTTTCCATTGATAAATGAACTCATTTATTGTAATTAAATAAAAAAAACATTCTCTACAATGTGTTTTTTAAAATGATTCATCTCTCTAATGAGAGAAGATAAAAAAATCTTCAAATTAATTAAATAACAATTATTTATTAACTAAAAGATAAAAAATTGAACTCTCGAGATAAAACAATATGTAATTATTTATTATTCAAAATTAATAATTATAGAAAATAGCTATACTAATAAAAGAGGCATAATCGTTGACATAAATAGGACAATTTTCTACCATATATATGAAGTGCCATGCAGATGGCTAAAGAGCCATCAATATCACAGGCTATACGATTTGGTCTTTCTAATCGATAATTTCGAATCGAGGTCAAATTATTTACAAATCAATATTATTTTATTATTTTATTTTTAAATGTTTTATTGTTATTTAATAGTAAGAATTAATTATAAAATGTCAGAGTTTCTTGTAGTTATAGATGTAATTTTACTGTATAGGTTTTGAATATAAAAAAATGAAATATTTAACTAAAAATATCTTTTAATATTATATTTAAATGTATAAAACACAAATTATTCAGAATATTACCGATATCCTAAATATGTCAGATAGTGCTAAAATGACAACAAAAAACTCCAAAACCAGGGCAAATGAGAGTCAGCGTGGTAATTAATACGCAATCTTAATTCTTCAATCCAAAAATAGAATCTTTATTCCAAAAATAGTACGTTTCAGTTCACTTTGGAACCATCTTCAGCAAAACAAATTTAAAATATCAATCTCTTCATGTCAAAGAAAAAATCATCATCAGAGAAAGATTACATTATTATTGTTTAGTGCTAAAAAATATTTCTAAAACGTTTTACTAATTTATGATATTGCAATTTTTTTAGATTATAATATACATACATACATATAATATACATACATACATATACATACCTACATATATATATATTCTTTATTTTATTTATATAGGTATTATATTTATTTTAATAATCTTTATTAATACAACATAAAATAATGAATAATGTAAATTTGGTGAG